CATGGTCCTGTGGCCAGGCGTGGCTGGGCGCAGTCATTGGCATCTCTGTGACACAAATTTAGAAGTGTTTTCCTATTCTGTCAAACCTTCAGGCCCTGGTTTTTGGCTCCTGTGAAGCAGCACAGCTTTGCTGGAACCAATTTATCTCAGCAGGGCCATTGACTCTCAATCCCACATAAAATTATGGGGATCTGGAGCGTATGTACAGTACTTCTGGCATGGCTCTTTGCATGACATCTTCAGAGTGAGCATGACAGATGCGTAAATAGCATATGTGAGGAGACATTCCATATCTGCTGCTTGTTGCATATTATTTACATACATATCCTCTACCTAGCTGATGGCTCTTCCTAGTTATAGATTTGTTAAAGACTGGAGTCTTTTCGAGCCTTTGAAAAACTGATGGAAATATATTTCCCTCTACAGCTGCTTGAAATTTTCAGTAAACATCTATTGTTTCCTCTTGCTAGAGAATGGAACAAGGGAAGGCTTCTGAGACTGCATTTAGGTGGTTAAAAACTGTGAAAACAAACTGCCCAACAGTGAATTATCAGGTATCAGCTGCTATTGATCAAAATAACAGCAAGATCTTGAGTGATAGCTCTTTGGGGAAAGCAAGCTCAGAGGGAAGCAAACAGCAAATGGACGCTGAAAAGTGCTAGACTTTTTTTGCAGTGAATTTGTTGCTCTCAAAGCTGTTCACTATGTAAGATGACTTCAGTACAGAGGTGATAAGCAGATCCTTACTTTGAAGGACTTCTGTGAAAATCACCATCTGAATACAGAGATGTTTTCCTCCCTAAGGGATAAGAGGTTAAAGTGCTAGGATGGAGTTTGGAGGATCTGAATTCAGCATCTGCTTCTGTTTCTTACTGAGTACCTGTGTAAATCATGCAACCATCATTTTCTTTCCCTAAATCAGAGGCCCTTCCTCTTTCAGCGTCTGGGCTGTGGGGACCCCCAAACAGTGAGCCCTGGATGCTGGGTGCCCACTCCCAAAATGGTGGGGGGAAAAAAAAAATCAGTGTCCTGGGCAAGGGGATAGCGGGGGGAAGCAGAGTTTCTGTCTTGCAAGAGTGGAGGCATTTGCTCACTTTAAGGTCCACGGGTTTGAGATGCAAAGAGGAATAAGACTGTAAAAAAGAACATAATGTTGCAGAGAGGATTGTTAATGGCCTCATCCAGAGTCACCTGAAATGATCAGTCCCTGGAAAATTGCAAATAATGATGGCAAACAATAGAATATCAGTGAAGTGGGTAGCATTGTGTGCTCTCTTTTTCCTGTTAGAGCTTGAGGGATTATGCTCTAAATGAATTTTTGGTGAAAACAGGACCTATTCTAATTATTTGTAAGTAGCGAGGATCAGGCTCACCACCGTACATGGTATTCTTCAAAATGCAGGTGGCTGCTGGCATTAAGTGCATCTGGTCATTCTCCTTACCGTGGACCTTGTAGCTTAAGGGGGTGTAGGACCTCTGATCTTGGTGGCTGCTGTCCTTTGGACGTGACTGAAGGGCATGAGCAAGTCATGGAAACACGGGGGAGACTGGAATAGGACTGAAGCAACTCTTCCTGTGAGTTCGTCCTCAGGTTTTGGGAGCTAAATGGCTCTTTCTTCTCCCAGTGCGTGGTCCCAGGGAACGTGGCAGGAGCTGATGTATTTCTTGGCATGGTAACTCCATGGCTTTGGGAGCTGGAGAGCAAATGAAAGGAAAAAGATGGGTAGAAGGGAAGTGGAGAGATTTCCTTTGTATTTGTGCTTGAAATGGGCATGAATGATACTTGTTTCTCTGTCCTGCTATTTTAGAAAGAGGAATCAGTTGACTGCAGCTCTGTTAGCTAGGTGCCCCTGGGGATCAGCTGTCTCTTGCAGGAGATTGTTTTATTGTATAATATGCCTGTTCCTATGGATTAGTTCCTTGCTTGCAGCCTCAGGAATGGGCAGGGAGGTACCCAGCCAGCAGCAATGTTGGGTTTTCAGGGTACGGAGGGTAGCAGGCACTGACCCCATGGCTCTGGCACAGCAAGCATCGAGAGCAGGCAGGTGGAGCTGCCTTTCAGGGACGTGGGGATGGATGAGCTCAGCTGCCTTTCTCTGCTGGCTTGAGCTAAAGGCTGTGTGCAAGTGTCTGGGCTTATATTTATGGCGAGGTCCAAGAGTAGATGGGATGTACTGGGATCAGTCCCCTGTGATGTGGATTGGACCCTCACCATCACCCTGCCATGTGCATCCTGAGATCTTGTCTCAAATGTGCTCTCCCCAAGAAGTTCAATGATCGTGGAAGGGAAACAGGGACTTTGAAAGAGGTGGGGACATGGCCTGTGATGTCCTGCTGATCCCGTTCCCCTCGGTGGCTCTGGGTTTTAAGTAGTGTCCCAATGCAAGCTGAAGTCAGTAGGAACCTTTTTTTTCCCCCACAGTGTGTTTGTTCCCAGGCCTCTGTTTGCTCCTTGTGAAAGCTATTCTGTTCTTTCTTTGTTCTGATGCTTAGCATTGCAAAAGAGGGTCTGCAGAGATTTCTGTCATCTCTAAAAGGAGTCTGATGGAGCAAATACAGAAGCTACAATGAATATGTATTATTGCAAATATTGAAGAAGCCAGTGTCCCCCTTAATAGATGCTTTTTCTCATTCTTTGAACAAATCCGTCAGTGATAGAAAGCAGATAGTCCACTTCTGGAATCTCTCTTGCCTTGCATTGTTACGTGATTTATAACATCATGCAAGGAACAGAATTTGTCACCACCATCTCTGTGAAGGACCGCTGAATCCCCTTGTAGAGGGGACTCTGGGGAAGTGGGTTTTGGGGCTCGAGAGACAATTTTTATCATTTTGTTATGACTTTTCATTCATTACTTCCTGCCAGTTTCTCTGATGCTCTAGTTGTTTGCCATAGATCTGATATTATGTAAAGCAGTTGGAGTGTTCATGTACTGAACCCAACACCTCTTGCTCTTCTGGAGCTGGTGCACGGCTGAGCAGTGACTTTCCTGTGCTCTTCCATAGTGCTCTGGTTCTCCATTTCACCCTCTTCACCATCCTAGACATCATTTTCCATGTCTGTTTTGCAGGTTTTCCAGCTCTGGAAAAGAACCCTTGCTCTAACTTCTCTAGCTGTAATGCAGTTTCTTCTTTTTTTTTTTTAAACTAAAACCCAGTACCTGCTCTGGTTGTTTCCTTAGTGTTTAATGGTTTGCTGAAAGATGCAGTGCCTGCTGGTGCTGCTCTGCCTGCTCAGCTGCAGACATAATTAATGTCCCTGCTCAGCACCAACCCAGTGAAGGGAGCAGTGATGCTCAAGGACCTCCCAGTGCTCGCTGGTAACGCTGGCCTTGGGGAGGCCACGGCTAGCCCAAGCCACTGCTGGGCTTTCCTTGACTTGTACATAGGCTTAGCAAAACCAGAAAGCTGGGAGAGAGTGAGCAGAGCTCAGGGAAGCACTTGCGAGGCCGAGGCTGAAGAGGGTGAAATGGGGAACCAGAGGGAATGGTCTGAGGATGCACTTCTTGCTGGAGGGGTGAATCTTGGGGGGTTTTGAGCAGCCAACAGCTGACTATTGAAAAGCGTGAACAGTTGATCAGGAAGACAAGACCTTTTGTGCTTTTTTGCATAAATGTTTAACAGCAAATAACAATTCTATCTGCCTGTCGCATCTGTTTCTCATCCTACCAAACACCTTGAGCACAGTTTTATGATACTCGAAATGAATGGGTTCACCAATGGTAATGCACTGCCAGTGCCATCAGTTTTGATGAGTGGTGGTTGTGTGTATTAACCAGAGATGTTTTCAGTGTTTATGGTTTGGACAGTGGTGGGAGAAATGAAGCTGTGTGTCTCCCTGTGTGTGCCTGTTCTTGGTTGCTGAATTTGTGTGATCATTAATGTCCAAAGAACAAATTTCACCCACCACCAGTGGCTGTGGTACAAACTTAGCTAATTAGCCTTTGGCATGTGGTTGCAGGTGCCCATCATCGCAGGAGTGATGGCTGCATTTTTGAACCTTTGCTTTCCAGGCTCTCTAGCACACTCTATCCCCCCCCGAGCCTTCCTCCCTCTCTTCTCCAGCCCAGGTGCTTGTTCCCTGCATCAGAAATGATTTCACGTCTTGCAAAATTAATTCTCTGCTCATGATGGCCTTGATTAAACAGATTAGCAAACTGTGCTAAAGGTGGCAAAACAGCTCTGATGTGCAGATGTCTTCACCTCCTGAAAGGAAAGGCAAAAACCTGTGGGCTGTTGCTATTAGGAAATGCAGGTGGCCATGGGCTGTTTGCTGCAAAAGCAGCAAAAATTCTTCACGTTTAGGAGCAGTGCCTGTAAAGTTAAACCTGGTTGAAACAATGGTAGATGTGATTATTGGCACTAGAACTAGATCAGCTTGAAATAGATAAGGTTTGTTCATCCACAGCTGGATGGACCGTACTGATGCTCCAGGAGTTTGGAGATAGATATGTTCTAGGCATGTGGGGAAAGCCCAGGGTCCTGCCTCTGCCAAGATATATCCATTAACCAAGCAGAGAACAAGCCTACTTGGGCCGCAGCTGTGGTTCTTTATCATGTAAGCCTCTGAAAATTTGCAAACAAACTCCAAATATGCACAAGGCTCATTTTCAGACAAGTTTTAATTTTCAATGGATATTCTAATTATTTACCCAATTCATCAAAAACCTTTTGTATCCTTTTGAATCTTATTTTGTGGATATTTAATAGAAAGTGGGGTTGAGGAAAAAAAAGTTATTTGCACCATGAATGTTGTTTTGACATGTTGATGCTCTGGACACTTTCTTGTAAATCCAGCACCTATTCATGGTGTGTCACCTGCTGCCTTCATGCGCGTTTTCTGGGCAATCATCGCCTGGAAGAAGGGTGGCATTTTTGGCTTGTTCTTTCTTGGCTTTGTTTACCTTGCTGTCTGCATGGAAACCTTCAAGCAGAAGAGTTGATCTGTTTTTCTAAGAAATAGGCTGGGAAAAGTCCTTTTGGATCATGCAGATGAAATCTTGGTGGCCTTCCTTCTCAGCCTTGGGGCATAGACCCCAATGGACACGGGGAAGACTTCTGATGAGCAAGAAATCTGGCCAGTCTCCTGCCCTTGAAATAACTGTCCCCCTCTCTTCCCAGGGACCCTGGGAAGAGTGGAAGGTAAGGTATCATGAGATGTTCTGGAAGGACAGATCTCTTCATGGTTGAATTAGGATTGGGGTCAAATCATGTAGAACAGCAGGACTGGGACTGAAAATGCAACATGAACATCCTGGGCTTTTTCCTGTGCAAGAGAACAGGGCTGAAGAGCGTGAAGATGCTAGATGGACAGCAGGAGAATTTTTGGAAGAGTTTTTGTCCCAGACACAAAACATGTCTTGGCTGTCAGTAGTTCAAGGTGGCAATCCTGATCCCCTTTTACAGCATCATTCCAAAACACTAGGCTGTGTCGAGTCAAAACAAGCACCGCAACAAGATAAATAGGTGAACACGCTGTATTTGCTGCACTGAATTAACATAAAATGAGTATGTGAAGGGCTAAGTGCATTTATTGGGGTGGGAGCCAGCAGAGAGGAGCAGAGCTGAATTTGCAAACACTCTCTTCCCGTAGACTCCTGGGCTGTCCAGCCGGGCGCTCTCGCACTGATTTACTGCTGTCCTTCCTTCAGCCTTTGAAAATCAATCCATTAACAATTAAAGTAATGTCTAGTCTAGTATTTATTTCACACTCTCGTTAATGGACTGACCAAAAGAAAAAACTTCTTCAAGCACTAAGACTCTTGTGAAATACCAGAGGGCTGTGTCTCTGGGTCATGCTTTTACCCTTGTTACCTGTTAGAGCTGAGACTTGCTCTTATGGAAGCATTTGGGAAAATTACCATGCGTTACCATACCATACTGTTACATTTCTTGTAAAGAAGGTGCAGCTTCTGTGCTAAATATCCCCAGACATCCATTAAAGGAGAATTAGAGCCAAAAGGGCTAGCCCTGGATGTGTCTGCTGGGCCCAAACAGCTCTGCGTTGGACTGCCTGTGGGCTCTGGAAGAGAAGAAGCATTTGCTGCCCAAGAGCTCATTTTCCTTTTCTCCTTCTCCTGGGCAATAGCAATGTGCCCCAAATTGGATCTGACCCATGTGTCTCTGCTCGTGTCCCCAACACAAACTGTTGGGAAATGGCTTCAGGGAAACACCACAGATGGCCAGAGACACCAGACCATGAGGGTCTAGTTCTCAGCGGTCAGTCTGCCCCTGATCTGGGATCAAGCTGGGGATGGACCCAAAAGACCTCTCTGCAGTCTGTTTGGAGGGGTGGCATACCTGGGGGGCTCTGCAGCTCCTGGGCACTGATTCTAGCAGGGTCAATGTCCCATGGCCAGATTGGGGAGGGCAGGGACCTGTGCGGTCTGCATGGATCACCCCACCCTAAGGTAATGAATTTGCCACTGCGGCTTCTTAAAATAAATGTGCTACTCTAACTCTGATCCGAAGTGCAGGATGTTTTGGGTTACAAAAATGACCTTTAGCGAATGCCACTATAAGAATACTAAATAATAACAATTTTCTGCCTCCTCAGTTCTCAGTCCTCCTTGTATTTGTGCCAGTTTCTAGGTCAAATTCCCCACTCTGCTTCTCCTGCGCTAGCACAGCGTTCAGGTTGCACAATTGCAGAGGAGGGAGAAATTTGCTTCCCGAAGCGGTATCTTTCCCAGTGCCCCGATCCTTCCCTTCTTCCCAGCGCGTCTGGTTGGGAGCCCACCCCAGGTAGGATGCGGGTCCCCTCCGCAGCTGG